GCGTCCATGGCCTGGAAGCCGGCGCGCAGGGTGGCCTCGTCGCGCGCGTAGCAGAGGCGCAAGTGGCCCGCCCGCTGGAACTGGCTGCCGGGGATGGCCACCACCTTGGCCGCCCGCAGGAGGTACAGCGCCAGCTCCTTGTCCGTGCGAATCACCTCCGCCGCGTCGGCCTCGTCGACCGATGGCGCGCGGGTGTCGAGGAAGGCCGTGACGTCGGGGAACAAGTAGAACGCGCCCTGGCTCGCCGTAAGCTTGCCTGCGCGCAACAAAAAGACCGTGAGAAAGCGCACACGCTCGTGCGCACTACATAACGCACGCACGCGGGCACACACACACAGAGACGCACAGCGTTTGAGGTGAGGCAGCGAGGAGAAGAGCTCCAGGGCGATGTCGCGCCGCAGCTGCAGCTGTCTCTTGATCTCCTTGCGGCTCTCCATGTCCCGCTCGGCCCTGCGCGTTTGTGAGACCTTCAGTCGGGCCAGCTGAATCTGGTAGATTGGGTGGTCGGTTGGTCGGTACCGCAGGAACTGGGCGAGGCCGACCTGCACGGGCAGGTTGACGCACGACGTGGCGTTGCCGTGCACGTTGGCGATCACTCGGATGATCTGCGCGGGTCCCGCCACCCAGCCTGTGGTTGGTTGGACCCGCGGGTGTCAGACAGCCCAACGGGTGGTGGGGTGAGTAACGAGTAGGCCTCTTTCTTTCATCTCTCGTGTGTGTCGTGTGTGGCCGGCGCGCACCCAGGCGAAGGCCGGTGGAGCTCAGCTCCTTGGAGATGCCGGCGACGACGAGCGTCTGGAGCGGGAGGTGGTGCGCGATGCTGCTGTAGGGCTCGTCTACGTTGCGGCCGGTCGCGTGTGAGTGAGAAGAAAGACAATATAACGCGAGGGCTCGCGACGCACCACTGTAGATGGCGGTTCGATAGCTCTCGTCAGAGATGACCGCCACCTGCGGATACTCGCCGATCACCTGATGCATAAACACGCGCACACCGCACACACACACCGCACACACCGCACGCGCACACGCCATCAGCTGCACTGCAAAGGGCAGGCGATGGTGGTGACGATGATGAAGTCGGACCTGGGCCAAATCGGCGATGAGGGATGCGGGGTAGACCACCCCCGTGGGGTTGTTCGGCGAGTTGACGATGATGATGGCGATCGTTGGGTCCGTGGCCAGCAGGCGCTCCAACTCGTCGACTGACCAACCAACACAGCGGGGGTAAATAATATAAATAACATAAATTAATAATAACATAAATAATATAAATAAATAAAAATAAATAAAATAATAATATTATTATTGCAAGTAGCCGGCACCTTTGGGGAAGAAGCGGTCGTCGGTGGGCAAGATGATGGCGGGCTTGCCGGTGGTCAGCGGGGGCACGTTCTCGAAGGCTTCGTAGGACGGCGCAAATGCAACCACCCTTGTTGTGTGCGGTGGTGTGTGCGGTGGTGTGTGCGGTGCGTGCGTGTCAGCAACACTCTGGGCCATCCGAGGTAGGGGCGTCGTACCTGTTGCGGGGCATTGCCGGGTTGACCAGCGCTATACACGCCTTGAAGATGGCGTCCTGGCAGCACACATCAACGGGGCTCAGTCCACCGTTTGGTTCCATGACAGCAGTCATCGCCATCGCACCTTGGGTCCTGGGCAGACGACGATCTCGTGCGGCGCGTAGGTCATGCCGAACCTGCGGAAGTCCTCGCTCAGCGCCTCGAGCAGTGAGTTGTCGCCTGCGCCAAGAGTGGTCAGCGCTCTGAGATTCCGAGTACGACGGCTCTGTGTGCGTGTTCGTGCGCGTGTGCGTGTGCGGAGTACCGGAGGCGGCGGTGTAGTGGCTGTGGGACTCGGCCAGCTGGGCGGCGGCGATCGCCTGCCGCAGGGCGAGGGGCACCGGGACGTACGGGTTCATCTCGCCCACGCCAAAGTCGAACACCTCCACGCCTGTGCGTCGCTCAGCCCATATGAGCCCGTGTGTGTGTGTGTGTGTGCGTGTGTGCGTGCGTGCGTGCGTGATCGAGGAATCGGGCAGCGCTGCACCTGATAGCTTGAGCTGGTCGGCGACCTCCTTGATGGCGAGCGTGGGCGACGGCTTCAGGTGCTGAGCCCAGGGCGATGCCACCAACTGCAGCGCGGGTGCTGATCAGACAGATGCAAGCCGCACCCACTCATTTCATTGATAGCCATTGTGTGTGTGTGTGTGTGTGTGTGTGTGTGTGTGTGTGTGTGTGTGTGTGTGTGTGTGTGTGTGTGTGTGTGTGTGTGTGTGTGTGTGTGTGTGTGTGTGTGTGTGTGTGTGTGTGGTGTGTGTGTGTTCGCGTGTGTGTATGTGGCGCCGTACCTGACACCCCGTTCCCATTGTAGCGTCGTGGCTTTCCTGCTCGACGAAGAACTGCCGGGTCCGCTTGATCTGTGGTGTGACACGACAACACTCATCAGCGCCACTGACTGCGTGTAAAGTTGATGAGAAAACACACACGACACACACCACACAACACACGACACACACAAGTGAATCGTGGTCGAGCACCTGGACGCGGGTGGACCGGGCCTCCACGAGCCTGGTGGCGCGCTTGCGCACGTGGATCGTGACCTTGGCCTTCTCCGCACCAAAGCTCACGCAACACACCCGCGCAATGCCTGGCATGGCCACACAAAGCACGAGACGCACAAATCATGATGAAAACGTTTCTAATTCTAATGTCAACGTTGGAGTGAGGTTACCGGTGGCAAGGGCCTCCACAGAAGAAGACGATGGGTGTTGATGTACGTAGGCCTCCACCGCAGCTTCCACCTGCCCGCTGGCATTTATTATGTTATTGTTATTTATAAATAATGATTGATTTAAAGAAAGTGGTGAAGGGGTACGTGGTGTGGCCTTCGGGAGTGGTCCACAGAGCGTCGAGACTGACCTCCACGCCCTCCACCTGCACCACCTTCTCCAGCGTCATCCGACACGCTGCCATCTTCTTCTCTTCGCTTTCGTGTTAAACTGCAAACAGTTTATGAAACGTTTGCGAAATGCCTTCTGTGTTGAATTGAAACATTTGGAGAGTTGTTGATGGCAGGATACTGCAAGATATCTACAAAAAGATGCTCTGAAGAAGAAGAAGAAAGCGAAGCGTAGACTGTGCCGAGGTGTGCACAGAACGCACAGAGGCCCAGGGCGTGAGCTTAGGGCGAGAGGATCTCGAGGAGGACGTCCTTGAGGGTGATCACGCCGATGGGCTTCTTGGCGTCGTCCACCACAAACACGCGGTGGATCGAGTGGTCGGCCAGCAGGTTGATCACCTGCTCGAGCGTGTGCGACTCCTTGCACACCTGCACCCTCTTCGGCCTCTGGCCCTCTGTGTGTCGTGTGCATTTATGGGCGTGTGCGGTGGTTAGCGTCATCATCAACATCATCATCAAAGCAAGGCGAAGTGAGAGAGCGGCAAAGACGCACCCTTGATCTCGTGCTTGAGCTTGGTGATGTAGTTCTCGACGGTCTGGTAGAGGCGCCAGAAGAAGCGGCCGTCGGTGGACATGGCCTTGAGGTCGCGCAGCGACAGGTTGCCCCGCAGCCGGCCGGTGTCGTCGACGATGGCCACGCCGGTCACGCCGTGCTCCACCATCTGGTGGAAGGCGTCGATGGCCCTCTGGTGCATGTTGATGGTGAACACGTCGTGCATCACGCCGTTGATCTCCTTGACGGGCGTGGCCCGCTTGTCGCCGAGCAGGTGCATGTTCTGCTGGAGGAAGCGCACGACCTGGGACTGGGTGATGAGGTTCATCAGCTGACGCTGCTCGTCGACCACCGGCACGCGATGGAGGCTGCGCTCCTTGGCCAGCGCCTCGATGGCGTAGAGCAGCGAGTAGCCGCCCTTGACCGGGTTGAACGGGTTGCGGCGGGTGAGCGGGTAGCGCATGAGGTCATTGACCGTCTTCTGCTTGAACTCCTCCTCGCGCTCCACAAGCGTCCAGAAGTCCTCCTCCACGTTCAGCTTGCTCTCGCCAAAGGTCTGCAACGATACACCGTCATCAGCTCACGACCGTGGCCACGCTACACTCGAAATATTCAGAGAAAAGGAAAGGAAATTAAATAAGAAAAGAAAAGCAACGTACGTTGACGACGTAGAGGACGATGTCGGCCAGGTCGAGGAAGCCGAACCACTTGTGCTTGGTCTTCTGGAGCACGGGCACGGAGAGGAAGTTGTGGTTCACCAGGCCCCTGAACACGTCGACGATCTTGTCGGTGCGCTCGGCGACGAAGACCTTGTTTTCGGGCACGCGCAGCTGCTCGGCGCGGGTGTAGACCAGCGCGGCCAGGAACTCGGCGCTCGTGCGGTGGTGGTGCCCCGCCGTGGCCAGGCCGGTGCCCACCACGCCCTTCAGATGCACCACGGGCTCCTCCTCGCCTTCGGTCTTGCGGTTCTTGGCGGCCGCACCGGCCTCGACGGCCTTCTTGACCTCGGTGGGCTCGGCGTTCTTCCTCTTCTGTCCTGCGTGGCTCATTGTCTTGTTCAACTAGTGCACACATCATCATCATCACCATACACACACATGGTCAGCCATGTCTCCACAAGTGCCAGCAAATTGGGACTTGTGGTGGGTACCTGGTGAGGCTTCTTCTGGAGAGGAGGTTGTGGTGGTGTTGAGAGTGTGGAGTATGAGACTCAACACAAGAGGGTGACAGCGGCAAGTAGTGTTTGGTGGTAGTGGTGGTGGTTGATGGCAAAAACCGTTTGAACTGCCGCACTGTGACCGTACTTATACATCTGCGCCACCTTAAACTCCCGCGGTCATCGTGCATCAACCATCGAACTCTCGCCCACCAACCCGCGACAAACACAAAATTCCACACATTCCCCACTTTTTTGCTTGCCTGGAAAAATTTCGCGAGGCCCCTTTGGTTCGTGGGTTCGAATCCCACCAAAAGTCCACTGCCGCACAAAAAATTAAAAAAATAAAAAAATACATTGTGTTGCGGGCTACTTGCTGGGGTTGAGAAGGCCGAGCGCATCCATCTTGGCTGGCACCAATCGCCGCAGCTTCTCGAGGAGGGGCTTGTCCTGCACCGGTTTTTCGATGTAGTCATCCTACCAGTGGCGGTGGTGGCCAGATAGTGGTTGAAGGTAAGTTCATGGACAGGAGAAGGGAGTAGGGCGAGGGGCAAAGGTAGAGAGTGACGCGTGTCGCACGCACCATGCCAGCGTCGATGCACTTTTGGCGGTCCTCCGGCATCACGTTGGCGGTGAACGCCAGGATCTTGTTGCGCGGCTTGTTGGTCTGCGCTTCCACTTCGCGTATGCACCGTGTGGCCTCGTAGCCGTCCATCAGCGGCTGCAGACACAGATAACACACCTTAGGCCACCGGCGTGTCGACACAAGACACAAATTTCACGTACCATCATGCAGTCCATGAGGATGACGTCGTACATGACAGCACCCTCGTTCAACATGGAGGCCGTTACTTCCTCCACCGCCTGCTGGCCATTGTGGACAACGTGGTAGGAACAGCCCCTGTGTGTAGATGACGTATACATGCCAGCGTCACCGTTAGCCAAGACGAACACACATGGCGTGCGTGTGTGTGCGGCGTTGGTCCCTTACCTGACGTATTTGTCCAACACCTTGGTGAGGACCTTCTGGTTGATGAGGTTATCCTCGACGACCAGGATGCGTAGCCGTCGGTCGAGCACCCGTTCCCTGTGCGGATGCGAGCCCTCGCGCTGCCGTCGTCGCAGGATCGTCTCCTCGTTCAATGGTGTGTTGTCCTTCTCGGGGCTACCGTCTCTGTTGCGATTCGAGTTGCGGTCAAGCAACGCCTCGGCGGCCTCGACCAGCGTGGCCGTGGCCATGCCCGCGGGGGTCAGGAGGTCCTCGCTCACCGAGCGATTCTCGCCGAGCGTGGCCCGCCGCTGGCCGTCCGATTCGTCACCCGAGTCCGGCCGCGGGTCGCTGTGATCGCCTGATCGTCGCCAATCGGGCCGCTTGTTCTTGTTCTTCTTCTTGTCGTCGACTCCCGGCTTGTTGTTGCCGCTTCCCTGACGTTGCCGCGGGTTCTGGCCGTGCTGGTGCGGTGGCTGCGGCGACGCGTGCGGTCCGAGTATTTTGAGGGCCTGCACTTCGCCCGACCATCGCTTCCTATCGCCTTTCCCGCCGCTCCGGGTCTCCCGGTACTGATGCTGCTGTTGCTGCTGCTGCTGCTGTTGCTCGGTCCGCAGCTTTTCGTCGGACTTGCGCCGCACCTCTTCGTAGGAGAACAGGAGGTGTTGCTGGTTCGACTGCAGGTACTCGGACAGGTCAAATTCCGATCCTGTTCGCCGAATGAACGAGTCGTCTAGCTGCCGTTAGTGCGTGCGTGCGTGCGGATATGCTGATGTGCGCGCAGTGGAGGGTATGGACCTGATCCGAGCTTTCGTGTTTGAGGCATCTGGTGAGAGAACCGCCGACGCAGCCGCTTGATGAACTCGTCCTCCTCGATGCTGCTCCTCCTGGCCTCGATCCGTGATCCTTTGGAGCTGCTCTTTCGCCTCTGACTTGCCATCCGCCGCCACGTCCCATCGAGCAGATCCCTAAATACATTCCTGTGTAGGCAAGAGGGTCGGCGCGAAATGCGTGCTTGAGCACCAGCGGAGCGTGTGTGTGTATATGTGGTGAGGCCAGTAAAAGAGGGTGCGTACTTGAGCTCGTTCTTCTTGATGGGGGTCGTGAGCGACCCATCGATTCTCTCATTCTTAAACAGGTTGGCGACCTTGGTCTTCTCCAGCAAGGGCGAAATGAGCACGAGGAAAGGCCGCGGCTCCATCAGTCGGTCCTCAAATCGAATCCTGCGCTTCCTGCATGTGTCATGTGTGTCGAATGTCGTGAGTTGTCGTAACGCGAGTGGTTAGCGGGCCGACGCTCGTGCGCATGGGCTGTGCGTGAGTGTTGTTTCGCAGCGGAGACTGTACCTGGCCTCATCGGGGCATTGCCTCTTGGGCGAGGCATTGGTCTCGGAACCGTTTGCCGCGGTAGACGACGATGACGGAGTGGTCCACCTGGCCGAGGTGGGGCTCCCTCCTGTCGACCGCTTCCTCTGGTTGGTGCTGCTCTTCCTTCGCTTCCCGCCGGGGCTGTCGAAGTTCCGCGCCATCACCCCGGAGCCGCCCTGGAAGATCAGGCCGCGCAGGTACTGCAGCGAGGGCGAGCTCTTGCGCTCTGCCGTGCCGTACTCGCCCTCCAGGTGTTCGTAGAACCCGAGATCCATCACTACGGCGTCGAATCGCGGCCGGTAGTTGGCGGTCGCGTTGGTGGTCGATGACGGGTTCGCGTCTTCCTCGCTCTCCTTGCTCTTGCCGGGCGGCGCGTCGTCGCCACCACCACTGCTCGACATGTAGCCGCTGCTCTCGGCCTCGCTCCTCTTCTGGCCCTCCTCCATGTGCGCGAGCAGTTGAAGGAAGTTGTCGTCGTAGATGTCCTCCACTTCGATGACGCCCCAGTTTTCAAGCTGCTGCTGGGCCAAGAACGCGTCGCCGCTGTTCAGCAGGTCGTCGTCCACCTGTTCCTCCTTGGCCTTGGACACGTCTTCGTCGTAGGACGAGGTCGACGACGACGACGATGCGTCGATTCGCTCCGGCGTGGCGTCCCACTCGCCCGAGGGCAAGTTCCTCGTGGTCGATGCCGCGGCGTTGAGGGCGGAGGCCTTCTTCATCTCCACGATGAAGGCGTGCAGGTAGCTCAGCACGATCGCGCGGAACGAGTCGTTCTTGAGGCAGAGCAGGATGAACTTCTTCCCGCTGCGTCGCATCTCCTCATATGAGGAGTAGAAACGGAGCATCGGGAAAATATCGCCCTGTGGTCCGCTCTCCGTGACGCTGCTGCCGCTGCCGCCGGCCGCCCGGTCCTCTCCGTACTCCTGGACGAACTCGCCGCTGTCCGTGTTCGCTCGGTACGATTCATAGGCTCGTTCCCAGATCCAGTCGCTCAGCTTGACGCCGACGCTCACCTTTCGCTTGTTGACGCCCAGCAGCGCCGCGCGCTCACCCGATGACAGGCCCTCGAGCCCGTTGGCGAGTTGCTGCTGGTGCTGCTGCTGTAGGAGGCGCTCCCTCTGCAGCCGATGCTCTTCCGTGCGCCGGACACCGTCCACTTCGCCGCTCTCGTAACCCGGGGGCGACAGACTCAACACCCGCGGGGGGAGACCGCACGATGTCGATCTCGGCGCTGTCCACGGCCGCCACCGTTATTGCGTCGTCCATGCAGCGGAGCCTTTCGCTGTCCTGTAGTTGGCGAACGCACCACGGCTAAAGTGTAAGCGCACGTCCCGTAAATACAGAGCCATACAGAGAGGAGCTCGTGCGTACGTCCAGGATTTCGAGATCGACATAGGCAGTGAACACACTGCCAAGGCCCACTTCGCTCTGGATCTCCATCAAGCCACCCATGGTGGTGACGATGCGGTTGCATAGCACCAGGCCCAGGCCCGTTCCGCCGTACCTGCGACATTGGCGAGTCAACCAATGTTGTAGTAGCTCTGGAACGCGCCATTGGGAGGGGGAGGGGGTTTGGTAGAGACGGTACCGTTTGGACTGGTCGACTTGAGTGAAGGGCTGGAACGATCGTAGTGACGAGAGGCCTTCGGGCGATATGCCCACCCCCGAGTCCACGATGCTCAGCTGGAACGTTTCCTTCCGCGGTCTGCCGCACGGCGACTTGCTCACCGGTCGGTCTGCATGTAATCGAACATGGTGGTCAACAGATAAAAAAAAAGACGATATGTGTGAATCTCAAGAGTCCAGCGAACGTACCATAGGCAGGAGCGACGACGAGCTTGACCTCGCCCACCGAAGTGAACTTGATCGCGTTGTTCACGAGGTTGAGCATCACCTGCGCTAGCCGGCCTAGATCGGTGGAATGGATGGGAGTGGTTGTGAGCGGTGATGGCCAAAACATGTTTCCAAACGGGGCGGTACGGCGATGTGGCGTACCCGGATCGCCGCGGACGTAAGTCGGAATGTCAGTATCTACGTAGCAGACCAACTCGATGCCCTTTTTCTGCGCCTGGAGCACCAGCACGTCGCACACGCTCTCCACGCAGGCCTGGAGGTCGAAATTGAAGTCCTTGAGCGACACCTTGCCCGCCTCCAACTTGCTAAAGTCCAAGATATCGTTCACCTGCACGGAGAGAGTAGCGCGGAGGAAAGAGTCGGGAGACAATGCAGGGTCAGGCCTGAGCGTGGTCACAGCGTGCGAGATCAACGGTCTCCGTACGATGCCCAGGAGCAGCGTGCCCGACGCGCGAACGGTGTTGACGAGATCCCGCTGGTACGGCGTGAGCGTGTCGTCATCCGAAAGCAGCGTGGTCAGCGTGATGATCCCGCTCAGCGGCGTTCGTATCTCGTGGGACATGCCTGCCGCGCACGCCGACTGATGCGTTAGGGAAAACACGACCGACACATATGATGATATGTAACAAGATGGTAGAGAGTAGAGAGAAGAGAGAGCTCGACAACACGTAATGGAAACACCAAGTGCCGAGATGGAGGCAAAGCGAACCACCGCGGTGGGTGGAGGGGAGAATCTTGCATCAACGGGAGATTGGATGGCTACCTGCAAGGAAGGAGGACTTGGCCTGGGCGGCTGCCTCTGCTCTTTCCTTGGCGAGGATGAGCTCCAGCTGCTCGGGTGGCACGGACAGAGGCTCGCTGTCCTCCTTCTCCTTCTTTTCGTTCTACGTAGTGCAGGTTGAGCGCCGGCGAGGTCAGCACGATCACGTAGAGAAGACAAGCAAGCAAAGGCCTTTGCTCGAAGCTGTTCTGTGCACGTACCGTCTTCGAGATTTGTTTCCACGAGGTTATCGTGGTCTCGGTGTCGAGAGCCTTGATGAAGAGGTTGTTGTTGGCATCGAGCATGAGGTACACGTTCCAGGGACCCAACGAGACGCAGGGGGTGTTGTTTGCAGAAGCGGCGCAGCGTGGTGACCCATCCGAACAGGAGGAGCCGAGATTGAAATCAGTCACCTCGAATGCCGCGGTGAAGGCGCCGGCTGGGCTCAGGATGACGTTGTTGTGTGTGCTGTTGGTGGTCGATGGTACTGATTTAATCGCAATTGGCGATGTTCGGCGATGCGAGCTACATGCCGAGTCATCGCCTCCTCCCAGGGGCGGAGGTGGAGGCCCTTCCATCTCTCCACCCGCCACCTTCTCTCTTGTTTGTTCCTCCTCTACCTACCCCTTCACGTTTCAAATTTGAATGAAAAGATTCAAATTGAAAGTATAATCGTCCGACGATTAATCTGCACGAAGCTTCCTCCTCTTTCGTGCTCCACTCTTTTCGATCCTGTTTCGTGTCCTTCTCGATTATCGCAGATGTTACAACTGTCGTACGACAGCTGCGAGCTTGTAGCCGTCGTGGATTATTGCGGGTTACTTGTTGACTGGCTGCACGTGATCGGACCCTGAGTATAGCTCTTCAGAATGTCAATTATTTACACATTATATACTAGGGCATGTCTTGAATATTTAACAGTCACTTTTCCTCTGTCGCCTGGGACATGCGTTGTCAAGGCGACAGGTACATGTTCGTTCAGCCTGGAGGCGGAATCGATAGGGAAGAGGCGTGTTCTTTTGAAAGATGACCATGAATGCACAATCGCTCTCTGTTGCTCGGCAGAGGCATGATCGCTCTACTCTCGCTTTTTGGCGTGCCTGGCGCTGAAGCTGGCCAATCGCTCGCACACGAGACGCAGCTTGTCCAGCGTGGGGCAGATAACCTGGGAGAGGAGAGCGTGTGAGGCTTTGAACCCCGGGCACCCTCTCCGGTACGCCACACGGCGCGTGGGTGGGTGGTGACTTACCAGCCGGACATAGTTAGGGATTTGGAAGATGGTGCCAGGGAGGACGAGGACGCACTCCTCGGCCAGCAGCTTCTGGGTGAAGTCGACGTCGTCTTTGATGTCCTCAAACTTCTCGACTTCAATTCCCATCTGTACATGCAGAGAACGGCGTTCGCGCGTCAGACGGGGAACGGAACGCGGCACCGGAGCATCGCTGCCGCTGTTGCAGCCCATGTTGTTGACAGGAAAAGCGGTGGTGGAGAACATACCATTACATACATTGCTCCGCTGGGCTTGATGACCTTCAGGCCTGGTACGTTGGCTAGCTGTTCGACCAGCAGCTGGGCGTTGGCCTCCAATTGTGAGAGCGAGTGTTGGTAAAACTCCTCCGGAGTGTTGTGGAGCATCTGCGGCAGCACACCCTGCACTAGCGTGTTCGGCCCCAGAATAAGAGTGGTGAGCCTGTTCAGGCCCTGTCTGACTTCCTCCAGCAGACCGTTCCGATCATGGATCTGGATCCACCCGACCCTACGAATAACAAGACCAGAAATCGGTCAGTTACTCCAGTTCATTGGTCGGCCAACATCAAGCAACACAACGGGCGAAAGGGGTGAGCCATGTACCTCCAGCCTGGAACCAAGTACCGCTTGGCAATGCCACCCACCACAAGGACTGGAACGTCCTCGCTGACCCGACCGAAAGATTCGAACTGTTTGCCTGGGAGAACGGTCAGAGGGGCACAATTACACCGACACCCGGCGAAGAAAGCATGGGACTAACCTGAGCTTGGGAAGACCATATCGTAGTAGACTTCGTCCGAGATGATGGGCAACTGGTGTTTCTCAGCAATCTCCAAGATCGCCTTGATGTGCTCACGAGAGAAGACCGAGCCACATGGGTTGGAGGGATTATTCACCAAGATGACCTTGGTCCTCTCGTCCACCAGCGAGCTCAGCTGCTCCAGGTCCACCTCCCACTCTCTTTCCGGCTGTTGCGGCAAGAGGAAAAAGACACGGTTCGATTAGGGTCATCAATGAAGGCTTGACGCAGTGAATGAGAACCATACCAGCAAGTTGTAGTGCTTCCACTTGACGTCGAGGTGCTCGCAGATGGTTTGATAGAGCGAGAAGCCTGGTCGTGGGAGCAGGATGTTATCGCCAGGGTTGCAGAAGGCCTTGATGGCGATCTCCAAAGCCCCGGAACAGCCACTAGTCAGGATAATGTCGGTCTCTCGTAGAGGCGACTCGGGACTGGTGAACTTCTGTGCCACCGCTCGCTTGGCCTCTGCGCGGTGGGGCTTGTAAGTACACTGAGTCTGGTCCAGTTTTGATTTCGCTCGGGGGTAGCGTACCGGAACTGCCAGCGGAGTGCACATAGCCGTGAAAGCTGCGAAGTGGTGAATCCACCACCTTCTTGAGTTCCTCCTTAACGAATGGATGGACAGAGAGATTGTCATACACCGTAGGGTCCCCTGTTGCGATTAAATCGTGAGAGATGCGAGATTTAGGATTGGAGGCAGAGAATTCGTTAATCGTACCGATGGAGAGATCGATCATCTCCTTCTCAGGATTTTCTGGCACCTTTATCGTCTCAAGCAGAGCACGAATGGGATTGGTCATCCTCAACGAGGAAACCGATGCGCGGATGGGCTTCCATTCAGACTTCACGGGCGCTTGCATTCTTCCTTTACGTCCGGGTTGTTTCTGTGGGCAGTGTGTTTGCTCTGTCAACTCCAAATCTCCACTAGTGCGTGTCTTGACGCTCTTCGGTCCTTCTCTGTGGGTGCGATACAGCGGGATCGCAGTTCGGGTTCTTCCTTCCCGGATTGTTCCGATGAAAAGGCACGAGAGCGTGGTGCGGCATTCTTCAAAGTTTCAAACTGCCTTGGATTCCGCATAGCACAAATAATTGAGCGTAAAGGCGCCAAACCGTTGGGGAGCCATTTTGGCGGGAGTGCGTGACGGTTGTATTTCGCGGGTGGGCGAGCAAGAGTAGCACATTCATGCGCAAACGAATCGCCATCTTGTCCTATCGTGATGTTGTCCAAGTTTCTAGGGATCTTCAACTCGGCCTCAGAGCCGGCCTCCAACAACGATGTACCTCCCACGCCCCTCGCTTCCTTGCCTCTCGATTAAATCAGCTGGCTGATTCACACTCCTTTCCAGAAGAATGGTCTTTTGGAGAGACGGCGGAGGAGGCTTACCACGAGGCAATGGCGGGAACATAAAGGGGTGCGAATCCCGCTAAGCTCGAAGGAGAATCTACCGCCCGCCCCTTTGGTTACGAAGAAGACGTTCGAAGCACCATCTCAGCGACAGCATGGAGGTCTCGAGATCGCGGCCGAGATGCGCAGTCCAATGATTGCTTCCCCTCTGCGTCGAGTAGCGTCTCGCAGCGCTTCTACCCCTGACGTTGCCGAGAGCGAGGTAGTACGGAGAGTGTGGGTCGAAAATCGAACGCTGAAGAAGAGGATTCACCACCTCGAAGACGAGCTTGCGCAGTACAAGAGCCAAACGGCCGATGAGCTGGCACGCTGCAAGAGACAAATCGAAGGACTCAGCGAGAAATTGGCACACACCAAACCAGCAACGAAGCGATTGAGGACGCAAGAAAACGAAAACGGAGAAAACGAAAATCACGAGCGAATCAAGATCACCAAGAAGGTGAAGAAGGAAAAGATGAAAGAGAAGGCGAGCAGGAGGATGCCGTCTAAGACGGCCAAGAAGAAGGCAAAGACTGGCGAACCTACCACGGTCCTAGTAGTACCGCTCGCATGCGTCCCGCCGCCACCTGCACCGCCTCCCGCTGTGGTCATTGAGGTACTTTTTGAAAGCTGCACTTGCCTCCTCCCCCCAATCTGACCCCTGTCGTCGTGCAGGCTTGCGCGGCTAGTGCTGTGTCTTTTGGCGAAGCCAAGAAGAACCTCAAGAGGAGGGGTCCCATGGCCGCCGAACAGAAGGCTGCTGCACGTGTACGTGTTACGTACTATGTTCGTTGTGACCTTCAACTCCTTGCGCTCAACGTACTTACGTGTCCTCTCCAGCCGGTTCCCGGTGGCTTGCCGTCGCTCAACGAAGTGCTGATGACAAGGAGGTCACTCAGGCCAACCACGTACCACCACCTTACTCTCATCAGCTGATTGGCGCTTGCTCTCCAAGGATCTTGAGCTCACACTCTGTGATGAACGTCATAGGCTGCGACCGAAGCCAGCAGTGAAGCAGCCTGTTGAGCAGGACGATTTCAAAGCCGCGCTCTTGAAGAAGTTTGAGAACGTTAACATCTACAGCCCATTCCCTACTGCCGTCGACCCCAATGGTACGCACCTGATCGGCTGCGTGACATCTCGGCGTTGAACTCACTCGGCTTCTCTGTCGTAGACTCCTTCGCCGAGCCACCTTCTCCCTATCGCGTCCCCTGAGCAGTAATGCCAGCCAGCAGTCAGGGGTACCACCCAGCAAACACGAGCACGAAGTCATCTGTACATTCCCAAGACTGCAGCGTCTTCATTAGATGGAGGTCGCTGCAAGGCACACCAAACCGCTCTGCTCTTCTCCGCCCTCTTCTCTCCACTAGTGTAAGCGCTTCACACTCTAGAAATGAAGGCGCTTCCAAAGCTAGCAAAGTATTCTACATTTCATGTTTCGTCTTCGTCTTACACGCTCACCACCTTCCCCGTCCATGTCGCGCAATGACTCATGTCGGCGTAACGAAGAACTCCTTCCGCATCCGCTCGAGTACCCGGTCCACTTCGCCGGTCCATTCGCGTACGCTCGTCCTCAGCTTCATCACCTCACTGTAGTCCAGCTCGGAGACGTTGTTGAGCAGCGATATCACGCTCTGGTTGATCTTCTTCGTCAGGGCCTGCGCCTCGGCGCCCATGATGTCGCGCTCCCGCTTCCTCCGCCGCTCGTCCGCAGTGTCTCGGCTCTTCTTCTTCGCCGTCGCGCTTCGCTTCCTCGCGCTGCTGCTGCTGCCGCCGCCGCCATCGGTACTGCCCCCGCTACTGCTACGCGTCGATCGCATTCGGATCTTGCCGCGCGGCGAGCTCGCGGCTTCGCGTCCGGTCGACGACGAGGGGGAAGACGAGCTCCGGAGCACGGCGGTCGTGGCGAGGCTGCGAGGCGACGCCGATGACGACCGTTCGCGCGGCGACGACGATCGGTCGCGCGGAGAGGACTGCGGGCTGCTGCCGCTGCCGGGCTCGGATCCTCGGGGCGACGAGGTGAGCCGACCGCGCGGCGATGCCGACGGAGACGACGACCTCGAAGGCAGCGAGCCCTCGCTCTCGCTGCGCGATGAACGGAGGTTGCTGCGCGGAGAGCGGATCGGCAGATCGGTCAGCCCGTTGCCCCGCGAGCCGGCGCTTCCCGGCGACGGGCCTCCGCCGCCTGACGAAGGAGACGGGGCCGACAACGAAGACGACGACGACGACGACAGCGGCGAGTCTAGCGGGGGCGAGCTGGCGACCAGCTTCGATCTGACGTCGCGCGAGCTGAAGGCAGCCCGATCAGCCTGACCGATGGCGGCCACGGCCGAGAGCACGGCCTGCGGCACGGCCGGGTTGGCCCTGGATCCGCGCGGCGACGCGGTCTCGCCGGCGCTGTTGCTGAGCGGCGTGCGCCCTTCCGCTCGGCCCAGCGAGCGCGTCGAGTGGCCCTTGGCCGACACACTGCGTATCCATCCAAGACCATCCTAATCATCAACACGCACCATCGCACACGCACACACCACAGCGAGAGTGGTGCGTACCTTCGCTTTCGACCACTGGTGTTTTCTTCCTCCATTTCCTCTCTCACGCTTGATGAATACTTGGAGCGGCCTGACAACAGTCCATGTGAGCGCGTGTGCGGCGGTGCGTGTGCGTGTGCTACTTACGTGGCGACACATCAGGGGCGGCTGTCTGGGCCGGGCTGAGCTTCGCACCCTTGTTGCTGCCCGGGTCCTTGGGCGCTTCGCCGCCCGAGCTGGTCTTCTTGCTCTGTCTCCCTCTGTCTCCATCGCCGCTTCCGCTACTGCTGCCCGGCGAGTCGACTTGCGGGATCTCCCTGCTCAGCCTCCGGCTGCTGCTGCCGTGGCTCCGCGGGCTGCTGCCGCTGTGGCCCCGCGGGCTCCTGCTGATGTGACTCGAGGACTCCTTCGCCCCGGGCACCGCCAGAGTCGCGGTGCTGCCGTTCGACCTCTTGCTGCCGCCACCGTCACCGCCGCTGCCCCCGAGGTCTCTGGGCGAGCCGCTCTTGCCGCCGCCGCCGGAGCTGCCCGGATCCTTCGCCGGCACAAACTCGCCCGAGCGGCGCTTGCCGATGCCGCTGTCGCCGCCCGACCGACTCTTACCAACGCCGCTTGCCGAGGACCCGGGGCTGTCGGGCGGCTTGGGGCTCGGGCCGCCGCCGCCGCTGCCGCCCGAGCCCGGGTCCCTCCCGCCACTCGAGGTCCTGCTGCCGCCGCCGCCCGAGCCCGGGTCCCTCGCGCCGATGCCCGAGCCCTGGCCGCCGCTCATCTCCACGCTCAGCCGGTCCGCCCCGCCTGGCTTCGTTCGCCTCTCCCTCTCCTTCTCCCTCTCCTTCTTCTCCTTCTCCCTCTCCCTCTTCTCCTTCCCGCGCAGCGAGCCCGCCTCGGCCTCGACCGTCGCCGACTTGACCACCTTGCTGTCGGCCTTGACCACCGACTTGACCTTGTCGGCCTCCTTGCGGCCCCAGCTCGACGTCCGCTTCAGCCGCGCGGCCGCCTTTTCGTCTTCCTTCTCCTCGTCCTTCTCCCTCTCCCTCTCCCTCTCCTTCTTGCTGCCGACGCTACTGAGGAACTTGAAGGTCTTCGAACGCGATCGGGAATCGCCGCCGTCGGCCTCGCCGCCCTTCTTCTGGTCCTGCGCCGCCGATGACGATGACGATGATGATGACGATGATGATGACGATGACGGCTTCTCCTTCTCGAGCATGTACTGCTTGAGGCTGCGGCTCGAGGTGCTCCTCGTCCTCTTGCCGTCTTCCTTGGGCGCAGCCGCTGGAGATGATGAAGAAGTCGACGACGACGACGAGCCCGACGCAGACGACGGCGCGGAGGGAGTGGGCGCGCCCCCCGAGGCGTTGGCCAGCATGCGCAGGCGGCTGGCCACGCTCGTACCGCCCGCAGCCTCGGTGCCGTTCTCCCTCTCCCTCTCCTCCCTCGACTTCTGCGCGCCGGTCGTTGTCGTCGCTGTCGCTGTCGCTGCCGCCGCCTCCCTCTCCTTGAGCGACTTGGTCAGCATCGCGAACGCGCCGGTGCCGCTGCCGCCGCTGCTCGCCGAGTCGTCGCCGAGTGCCCAGGTACGCAGGCTGCGACTCGACGTGCTTCGCATCTTGGTCGAGCTGGCGGCCATCATCTTGCGCCCTTCGCTCACCCGCGAGCTGCCGCCGCCGATACCGCTGCCGATGCCACTGCTGATGCCACTGCCTATGCCGCTGCCGCCGCCGTCAAGGCTGGGCAGCGAGGAAACGGAGGCCGACAACGCCGAGTCAGCACCAGCGACGTTACCGCCACCGCTGGGCGCCGCCGATGACATGATGGCGCTCCCCTCCTTCTTCTGCTGCTGCTGCGATGAAGACGAAGGTGAAGGTGATGGTGCTGGCGCTGGTGGTTGTGCGTCGGACTTGGTGGCAGCGGCGCTCGGCTTCAGGCCGCCACCTGCGGCGGAGGCGGCGGCCCTCTTCTCCTTGGACTCCTTGTTGTTGTCGACCAGGTAGAACTCGCGCATCGATCGCGACGACGTGCTCTTGAGCTTGGGCTTGGACGACATCTCGTTTCCCTTCCGGTGTGACCTCTTCTGAACAAGAGTCAACCAAGAAGAAGAAGAGATGATGGAAGATGAGATTGTGTTGGCAATTTGGGGGGCAAGGAGGGATCCATGCGATTGGGTTGAAGGCTCAATGAGACTGGGGGGTAAGGACCTTTACTCCTTTGGTGCGGTGGGCCTGGCCTTTGATTGATTGTGCTTGCTTGTCCTTTTCGTTTGGGGGTTGATGTGTTGCGAGTGAACTTGCGTTTCAGTGTCGTGCGGTGCGCAGCAGGTTTGAACGCATTTTTACCATACCTCGACAACTCCACCAACGGACGCAAAAAAACTCCATAAATAAATAAGTATAAAGAATAAAGAATAAATGGAATAAGAATGAAACACATAAGAAAACCTGCGGTCAGCGCAGGTTGCAGCGAGCACTAGTGAACAACGCGGCCTGGTGCATTTTGAAGAACAGGGAGAGTGGAAAGTTGCTTATTCGGCCTTGACCTCGTCCTTCTTCTCCCCACCCCACGTACTACGCGACCACACACACGACACACACAACACACACACCACACACGGCACACACACGCACAACGACACACACACACACACACACACAAGAATTCGTCAGCGAAGAACGAAGGCACGAGGGCACGGCAGGGCAGGAAGGCGGGTGGGTGTACGCGTTGGCCCAGCGGCCGAGCTGGACGAGCTGGACAACCTCGTTGGAGGCATGGCAGACCAGCAGTGGTAGTTGGCGGGCGTGATGGCCAGCGACCACCTCATGAACAGGAAGCTGTAGAACACCAGCGCTGCCGAGCCATCAAGCAGAAGGTCAGCCACGGCCACAATCACCATCAACAGCACCGAGTCAAGAGAGCTCTGGTGTCTAATGGTGGAGGTACCAGAGGTCATGCGAGGATCGATCTTCTTGGGGTCCTGCTGGTTGTAGATGTTCGAAATAGCCTGTGCGAATAAAGTGAGATTAGTAAAATAGTAATCACATCTCAAATGAGAAGAAGTTGGTACCGCAAGCGGGATGCCCCAGTTGGCAACTGTGAAAACATATAAGTACATTTTGAATGAATGGGGATTTGAAATGGAAAATTAGAATGAAATTAGCTAAAATCATCGCAATCCGTAGCGTGGTGTTGCACGTACGAGCGCCGACGGTGCCAACAAACTGGGTCCACTTCCTGCGGGCGGGGCTCATCACTTGATTCGAGGCCATCTTGATTATTTGGTCTGTTGTGCTTTGTATTTTAATTTTATTTCCCAGCAGCGCGTATTTACAGTGCCAAAGCTCGGCGCACGACATCACCACCGCCATCGTCACCGGCATCATCGTAGCTCGTTGAGTAAAGTTTAAACGTCCTACCCTCTATCTAGTAGAGGAGGCAAGACTTCTTGCCCACCTTCTTCTTGCCGCCGATCGACGTGCCCGACTTCTTCCTGACCTGTCGCACCAGCTCGGCAAACAGCTCGTCCACGTTCGTGCGCAGCTGTACCACCACCAGACAACATCGGTCAGCGATGGGTTTGCTGCTGCTGGTGGTTGGGTAGTGGGAGAGAGAGAAGGAGAGTGCGAGCGGCTGAGCCTTACCTTGGCACTGGACTCGAAGAAGGGGCAACTGAAGGCGGAGGCCTGGTCCTTGCCAATGGCGAGGCTCACCTCGCGCTGGTCATCCGGAAGATCGCTCTTGTTGCCCACCAGCACCATCGGCACCGAGTCCGAGTCCTATAGGATTCTGTTAGGCCTGTCCGTGCGGTATGTGTGTGCGTGTGCGGTCGTGTGCGTGTTACGCCGGTCAAGAACAAGCCCGTAACCTGGATTCTGAGGATCTTGGCGCGCAGTTCGGAGAGGTGCTCGAGCGACTTACGATCAGCGATGCTGTAGACCAACACAAAGCCCTGGCCTGTTCGGAACCACTGATCCTGCATCGACTGTTGAAGCAATCGTTTGGGGGGGGGCGTAATGAGCTGACGATCACCATCTCTGTCACATTAGCGTGTTGGGGGAGATTTATACCCGGAACTCCTCCTGGCCGGCTGTGTCGAGGATGTCCAGCACTGACACTACACCGTCGACAAGTACCTGCTTACGGTGACTGTCCTCAATCGTCGGATCTGTTGAGTTGCGCGTGTGTCAGTGTGTGTCGAGTAGAGGCCGGCTCATCTCCCAACGCACGGGGGGGGGAGTATGGAGAAACATAAGTACCGTATTCGCTGACGAAGTGGTGGCTGACGTAGGCCAGTGTGAGGGCGCTCTTGCCCACTCCTCCGTACCCGTAATCACGATGGTCATCAATGACGAGTCCGCCATTTGTCCAAACTGTAACTGTCTATTCTAGCTATTAACCTCTTCTTCTCGCTCTGTGGGCGCTGATCCTAAGGATTGATTGTTCGTTCAACACCGGTGACGTCGACGCTCAACTCTCACTGTCTCTCTCGCTCCGCAACGGCCGTTGAAGAAGAAGGTTGGAAGTACTGGCTGGCCCGCACTGGTCGCTAATTTTGGAAAGGCCGGGCAGCGTGGCGCTTGCCTCTCTGGTCAAAGGCTTCTTTCGCCCGTCCTGCACTGAAGACCGCGGGGCACGGGCAATCGAGCGGGCGCGCACGAGCTTGGCCTTGAAAGGAAACTCAGCCCACTTCTGAGTAAAAACGGAATGAAACGAAAACTTGTGGTTTGAAGTTAGCCCATACAGAGGCGTGGGGGTGCTATTGCGCGCACACGAGCTCAGGCGTGCGCCTGGGCGGCCTGCATCTGCTTGTCGTAACTGCACACAAGAGCACACTCACGGTCAGGTCACCAACAGCATTGCGGGAGGAGGAGGAGGGCGGTGGTGGTGACAGCTGTACTTGATCTTACGGTAGACGTTGTAGCCGTTGACGGACAGAAGGGCCACGTTGACAGCGATCAGCAAGTCGGCTCTGGAAGTAGTTAACAAAGAATCGATCACATCAGCGGCTTTGATGGTCGCGTGCAATACATCGCGCACATGACGATCATCCTCCGAAGAGTGAGAACGGCGCGTACCGGGGGACGACGAGGAAGCCGTAGTAGGTCCACACCAGACCTGTGAGGGAGAGCGCGAGCGACTGGTTGAGGTCGAGGTCCTTCACGGCCGGCTTGCCCTCAAGAATGCCGTACAGCGGCACGATAGCAAGCCCTGCCCAAGAGGCACCAGGTAACAATTAAAAATAAATTACAAATCATGAAAACAAAACAATTACAAAAGAATGTCAAATAATCGTTTCAGAGGATGCATACCCCATTTGAAGGCGGGAGCGGCCCACAATGCTGCATCGGTTAAGGATGATTGGGGGGGGGGGATTAGAGGCAATGGCGATTCGAAAAGAGATTGTGCGGTACCGTTGTTGACCTTGCCGAAGACGGGGTACTTTTGGGCGAGATTCTGCCAGAACGGACCCTTGAGGAGCACACCTCCCTCCACTCCGTGGTACTTGGCGAAGAACCGCTGCTCCAATTTCGTCCACGCGCTCCCGCTCATCTTGTGTTAAATTTATTTGTAATTTATTTTCAGGCCAAAACGGTTCCCTTGGGGTGTGGATTAGCTGCCCGAGGGTCGCACTGCTATACTCACCTCACTTGTGTACTAGCTTCTTCTAATAAACCTACTTCCTGGTTTGATGCACCGTGGCACCGTGGGGCAGTTCAGCTACATGGCCCTGATGGGCTGATCCTGGCCATCCTGCTGCCTCTACAGACCACCAAGATGGTGGGGAGAGCAAGGTAGGTGCTACTGGCTTACTTACCCAGGTCAACTGTGGTGTTTGTTGTTTTTTGTTTGGCTTCAGGGCATTGTAGTGGGTGTGAATGTGGTGGTGGCATGGTCATAGCCACAGCAATCAGTCTGAAATCTTGCATGACTAAGTCTCCACCCCCATCATACACCCACCCTTTGTCTTGCCCATTTCACATGTTGCTCACCTCCTCTTGTGTTGTGTCATGTCTAGTATCATGTGGCATGTGCATAATGTGTGATGGATGGGCAAACAAACGCCAATTGAAGCTTGGTTGGGCCAGCACTCTTGGCAGTATGATCACAGGCAAACACCAAAACAAGACAAACTCTCAAGTATAAATAATGTACTTCAAAGTTAATGTAAATACACTTTTTCTTTCCTCCTCTATACTCTTCACAACTACTACCATTCACACACTCCAGTGACAATACACCTCCAGCTCCAACAGGTTATGGGCCCACGCCCATGAAATGGTACAAAACAATAAAAGTGAATCAATCTCTAGTAAGTGAAACATGTCTTCTACTGATTTGGCAGCTTGCTTTCAGCTTCTATGAGGAACCATTGATTATTGCATGTGGTGTACATGACTCCATGCTATGCTCATGTTGAGAAGAAGCTGGTATGGAACAGCACATCAGCCACCTTGACCACCTCCTTTGCTCTCTGAGTGTGAAATGACCATCTCTCCCAGTGCACCATGTGCATCACAGCCAAGCAGACACACATGGCCATTGGGAGTGGACCTTGGACACAGGGCAGCAAACCAATGCACACACTACACTTGGACATGTGTGGGCCTATGCCAGTTGACTTGCACAGCAGAAAGTGGTACTTGATCATTGACAATCACTTGTGCCATGCCACTGTCTACCTACTCAAGAAGAAGAGCAACAGGCTCAGTGTGTTCAAGAGCTACTTTGCTGCTACCCCTGCTGGCCGCCAGTGCTACTATCTGTGATCTGATCAGGGAGGCAAGTACTCATCAGTTGCATTCAAGAAACTACTCAAGAAGCACAGTGTTGTACATGAGACCATGGCATCACACACACTGGAACTCAATGGCATTGCTGAGTGTTTCAATTGTATGATTGTCATGACAGTTTGATGCCTACTCCTTGAGTCAGGGCTCACCAATGCCTTCTGGGTGGAAGCCATCAACATGGCCACACATCTCTACAATTGGCTACCAGTGAAGGTGAACAATGGTGAATTGCTGCTCAAGAGGTGGACTGGCCATCAAGCATCACTTGGACATCTCTGGACCTTTGGTTGCTGTGTCTTCACACTCAATTGGCAGCAATGTGTGAACAAGCTTGAGTCTTGCTCTTGTGAAGCCATTTACATTGGTCCACTGCACATGCAAAGGAGCTACACACCACTGCGTCTACCTTCCTGACACTGAGAAGGTCATTGAGACTTGTGATGTCATCTTTCAGGAAGATGTCATGCCCCAAGTTGTAGCACACACCATCATTGGCAATAGTATGACTCAGGTCAGGTATCAGGTAGATGATGATGATGACAGTGAAGATGACATCATTGAAAGTTGTGGACCAGTACTGGATGTCCCACTACTGGTGACAATCAGCATGATGCTGGTGACAATGACCAGCACAACACTGGCAATGGCAGGGGCAATGGCCAGTGCAACACTGACAATGGCAGGGGCGATGACCAATGCAATACTGACAATGACCAATGTGACACTGGTGACAACCAGCACAACACCAGCAATGGCAGGGGCGATGGCCAACGCAACACTGATGATGACCAACATGACACTGGTGATGACCAGCACGATGACCAGTGCAACACTGGTGATGATGACCAATGTGACACTGGCAACAGCAGGGGCGATGATCACAACACCAGCTGTTGAGTCATCTCAAACTGAAGAGGTAAGGGAGACCACTAAGACAAAACCCAACACCTCAGCTCCATGATGGTCAACTAGAATGAAGACGCCCAACATACAACTGTGAGAGATCACACTCACTACGTCATCAACTGAACAGCAAGTCTCTCATGCAACACCAACCAACTACAATGAAGCCATCAACTCACCTGAAGCTGAGCTCTGGAGAATGGCAATGGTTGAAGAGTATGATGCCCTACACAAGAACAACACCTTTGAACTTGTCTTGCTACTGAAGGGTTGCAAACTGATCCAGACTTGGTGGCTCTACAAGATCAAGCATCATGCCAATGGCACTGTTGAGAGGCATAAGGCATGAGGATTGCTTGAGGCTTTACACAGATACAAGGAGTTGACTATGATGAGACCTTTGTGCCTGTTGTATGACCTGAGAATCTTCACTATCTACTTGTGTACATGAATGCCAACAACATTGAAGTCCACCAGATGGATGTTGACATGGCCTTCCTCAACACCCTGCTGACTGATGAGATCTACATCATGCAACCTCAAGGTTTCATCAACACATCACAACCTGATCATGTCTGTTGTCTGTACAAGAGCCTCTATGGTCTGAAGCAGTCCCCCTACAAGTGGAACAAGACCTTCAACAATCACCTACACACCTCCAGCTTTGAACCTGCTGACTTGGATCTGTGCATCTACATCCAGTGATATGGCGACCACCTCACCATTGTAGCCATCTACATTGACAACTGTACAATCATTGCCCAAGCAGATCTACTTGATGACATGAAGAAGATGCTAAGCAACCACTTCATGATGAAAGACCTTGGAGAAGCACATTCAGTCCTTGGGATCAAGATTGGCCACAACCATCTTTGAGGCCAACTCACAATTCAGCAACTCAGGAAGATAACCAACATCCTCACAACCTTCAGCATGCAGGACTGCAAGCCTGTGTCAACTCTGATGGTACCCAACCTGGCCCTACCTAAGCTCTCTGAGACTGGTGAAGATGAACTTAAGCTACCCTATCATCATGGGATCAGAATGCTCATGTACCTCTCTCACTCAACTTGGCTGGACATCACATTCACCATGGCCTATCTCACATGATTTGTCAATGGCTATGGAGTTGAGCATTGGAAAGCTCTCAAGTGAGTACTCAGGTATCTACAAGCTACTAAGTACTATGTGATCATGTACAACACCACTTGAGGTGAGCAGGACCACAGTCTTCATGTACCAGTTGGCTACATTGATGCCAACTGGGGAAGTGACATTGAGACTCATTGATTGGTCACTGGCCTTGTCTTTGTGCTCTGTGGAGCGCCCATCACATGGATCTCCAAGACGCAGAAATGCATCTCTCTCTCCACAACCAAAGTGGAACTCAATGCACTCTCTGAAGGGGTGAAACATGGAATCTACCTCCACAAGCACATCAAGAGCGCTCACCTACGTGAAGCTACTCTCAGCGGCGCCCTCAACCTGCACTACTGCTCAACGCACAACATGCCAGCTGATCTCCTCACCAAGGCCTTACCTTGAGCGACAATTGAACACCTCTGCGATCTCCTCTCAATTGAGGACTCGAGCGCTTTCGATTAAGGGGCGTGTCGGAGGCAGGCTACGGCTCGGACCTCAACATTCGTGTCATTCCCAAAGTCGACAGGAAAACGACAGTGGACAGTGCCGACACGACGGCAGACGCAGGCAAACACCAAAACAAGACGAACTCTCAAGTATAAATAATGTACTTCAAAGTTAATGTAAATACACTTTTTCTTTCCTCCTCTATACTCTTCACAACTACTACCGTTCACACACTCCGGCGACGATACACCTCCAGCTCCAACAACAGATGGCACCGTCTCCGGATGGTCATGTCATGCGTGTGTGCGGTCGTGAGTGCAGTGTTGGTGCTGAGCGTCTGCGTCATGGTCGGAAGTCTGTTTGGCCTGGCAGGGGTCCATCATCATGAACCAAACTGGTCCGTTGGCGGTCGCCATCATGTTGACATTCCAGGCCCACAACAGACCCGGTGGCAATGGAGGACGACGCATGTCAGTAGTGGCCAGTACAGGCCTCTTGCTGCCAGGCAGGCGATGAAGATGGTGGTAAAACTTCTTCGTTTGTATCAAACTTTGATTCGAAATGTACAGATTTGTTTTGCCTATCTCTGCTCTGCTCTTACTCGAACGCGCCCTTCCATTCGAAGGACCGGTACTCGAGTCCCTCGAGGCCCCCTCGGTTGCCCCCCTCGGCCGACGCGGCGAACGAGGGTAGCTGGTAGGAGGAGGCGGCAGCGGCGTTCGGGCCAGCGCCACCGGCGGTGGTGGTGCGGTGGTAGCTCGTGTAGTGGGTCGGCTGGCTCTGCTGGTACTGCGAGTTGTTGACGGAGAAGGGCAACGAGTTGAGCCACGACAGCGACAGCGACGACGAGCTGCCCGAAAAGGAGACCAGCGGCGGCGTGCTACCGGTCGTCGTCGACGATGACGACGAGGGAGGTGGGAGCGCAGGCGGAGCGGCGGCGGCGTAGTGGTCACTACCACCGTGCGACGACTGAGGCGACGACGAAGTGTATGGTCGCTTGCTGTTGTGCTGCTGCTGCTGCTGCTGCTGCTGCGCTTGTTGATGGTGCTGGTAGGCGCTAAGCGGCTGATGGAACTGCTGGTGGTGGTGCGGCAGCATGCTGCTACTGCTGTAGCCGACATCGAGCATGGCCTTGCGCTTGAGCTCGTCGTAGTCGTTGCCCAGCTGGTTGTACCGCTCTTCCTGGTCTCGCTTCCCCTCGCCCTGCGCATAGTCGCCCGTGCCGCCCGCCTGCTTCGCCTTGGCCGCCGCCGATGTACTGGTCGGCGCCTCGGGGAAGAGGTTCATGTGCTGGGTGTACTGGCGCAGGTTCTTCCAGGCCTCGGCGACGTGGGTCAGCACCTGGTCCTTGCCCTCGCCGCAGTTGAATCGCAGGATCGTGTCGTAGAGCGATTGGAAGTTGCGCTCGCAGAACTCGACCAGGTCGCGCTTCTCGGCCCACTCCCTGTAGGCTGCCTGCGACGGGGGCTGCTGCGCGCAAGCGGTCGATCGCGATTCGTGCATGTCGGGTGAGATCCACGAGAACGACTCGGCCTTCTTGAGGTCGTGCGGCGCCATGTAGTGCTGATTCTGCGGCTGCGACGGCGGCGGGAGCATGTAGGCCGGCTTGATCGCGGCGGAGAGCGCGGGCGGCAGTGGCGGGTACGCCGCGTAGGCCGCGGGAGGCGGTGGCATGAACTGAGCGGCGTAGCCATTGTAGGGCGGAGGCGATGGTGAGGGCGACGACGACGAGGAGAGGTAGCTGTGCGGCGGCTGCTGCTGCTGCTGCTGGGTGGGCGAAGCGTAGGCCGACCCGGAGCTCTCGGATTTGACGGCGCTGTGGGCGTCACCACCGGTGGTGTCGTCGTCATCGTCATCATCGTCATCGTTGTTGTCGTTGTCCTCCATGTTCCTCATCATCTCGGCGATGGCCGCGTCGCTGATCGGCTCCACGTTCTCGAGCGATAGCTGGTACGTGTCGCGCAGCACCAAACCCCTGTCGATATTGTTCAGGTGAGTGAGGGACTTTCGACCGCGCATGCACACGCGACCGCACACGCGGCCAACGCGACACGACACGACACAGGACCGGCCAAGGTACCGGTAGTGATGCTTGGAGGCTCCGCGCGGACCCACGCGGTTGCACTTGACCGTCGGGAAGGCCATCTTCAGTATCTTGCCGAACGACGCTGCCGACGATGGCTGAATCCTGCGCGTTGAGGGCGGTGAGTCACAGCGCGACGTCGCAGCACAGCAGAACTGCGCTCAGTACCTGTTGGCCCGGCACAGTTCAATGTAGTGGACGAAGACGTCGCGCTTGGCGATGGACCCGCTGGCCCGGAGGCAGTAATTGACGCGTAGCCTGGAGGTGAACACACACGATACGGTTACGCCAAAAAAGGGTTAGCTAAAAAAATTATAATTATCCTAAGAAGGAAAATGTGTCAATTTCTGTCAATTTGCGCGCGGGGATTGTCCGGCCAATGCGCGTTGGCCCCAACCCCTGGACAACCAACAGCAACTTTTCCTCCGCTTTCAGAGCTTTTTCTACTCCCCAGAAACACGTGACTCCGGGAAGGTGGCGGGGGGGGATGGACGTACCACGCGACGATGAGAGCTCTGTGTTGGAGGCACTTCTTCTTCTGTGCGAGCCGTCGCATGGTTGTGTGGATCTGAGTTGTGCGAGTGCGAGTTGGGTGGGCGAGTGTGAGGCGTGTGCGGCTTGAGCTGGACTTAGTGATTGCCGGGCGTGCGGTAGAAGAAGGGTGATGGCCGGTGAGGTTTAGCGTAGCGGTAGCTCGAGTGTGAGTGTTTGGTGGTTGCCGGGATCAGGTGGGTGACGCAGTGTGAGGCTGGGTGGAGGTGCAGCCGGGGTGGCGCGCACACGCGTGAACTAGAAGAGAACAAAAGAGGGAATGACAAATTGGCAAAGCCTGGCCTGCTTTTTAGGTCCCTTGGCTGGGAGTTAGTGGTGACGGACGTCCGCGGCGCGTAGCCGTGGCTTGTTCGCAACCGCTGAGCCTAGCAACGTTCCCTTGCCAACGGCACAGTCTATGATCTCTTCGATTAAAAACCGACGACTTTTCGCGAGTAACGAACTGTCGTGACGACAGTCGACATCGCTCCTCCGCCGACATCCTCAAAATCGGGGGCGATGATCGAGCACTGGATTGCGTAGATTTTGCTGGTGAGGAGTCGGTAACGACAGGCCAACGATGTAATAAATATGGATCTGAGGCTTGAGGCTTCGCCTTCTTGATCATCACAGCCATCCATTCATGACGTCCCAGAGGCAGAGGATTTGGTGAACATAGCATGTCGACAATGACGAATTCTTGTCCGTGAAGAAGCTTTTTCGCTCCTGGCATTTTGTCGTTTCAATTTGTAAATGCAAACCTAAACATCACCACCAACGGACCCGTGCCCGCCGAACCAGCCCCAACCAACGATTACATTGAAAAAATATAAATGAGACTTCAAGCTCCGGGCGAGGGGCAGGACGCTCTTAGTGCGCTGCCGCTCGCGGCACTGAGGCGCATCTTCGAATATCTGCGCCCTCGCGACCTGTGCCTGGTGGAGCGCATCTGCACGTACCGTCCCCAAGTCATTCCAAATCATCGCACGACATTCATCATTCCACGCTCGGCATTCGCATGTGATGGTGATGGTGATGGTGGTGGGTTATAGGAGTTGGCATGATCTGCCGTCGAAGGAGGAGAAGAACAGGCTGTGGTGGCGCCACGTGATGCGCGAGACGTGGGACGAAGGCTGTGCGCCGACGGCGATGGGGCGCGCCGAGAAGAAGAAGCTGTGGAAGGACGAATACGCCGCCAGCATCGCCCCCAAGCTGCGCCAACCCTTTGCCAAGAGGAAGGCCGCCCTCCTTATCAGGTGCGTGCGTGTGCGGTGAGTCACACGACACACACGACACTCATCAGGTGCGTGCGTGTGCGGTGGATCTGGCTAACGGTTCGCGCGCACAGTCGCAAGGCGAAGGTGAACGCCGAACAGGACCAGGAAGAAGACGACAGCCTCCCCGAAGCAGAGTGGGGTTCGCCTCCTAAAGACAAGGTCACCATGCGCACCTACTACAAGAGCATCAGGTGCGTTCCTCCGGAAATGTGTGTCGTGTGTCGTGTGTCGTGTGGTCTAAGGCTTCGGCACAACTGCAGGTCCAAGCCCAAGAACAAGAGAGCCAAGGGGGGCATGCGGACTCACATAGTTGAGGACTACACGTGGGACAATGACGACGTGTGCGCCGCGCCGCGCTGGTAACGAGAGAGTGATGTGTATAGAGCGGCCGGCGCCCACTGATAAAAGGAATGTAACTCTCGTCTCCAGATAATCTCGTTGTTGCAGGAGAGTGTAGTCCCAGGAGAAGAGGAGGCCCGCGCCGGTGGTGTTCAGCGAGACGAAGCGGGTAAACCCGACGTAGATGTCGAGCGGAACTCTGTAGGACTGAACGAGCGTTGAGCCGCCGAGGCCAGAGCCACAGCAAAGCAAAACAACAAGAAGGCACAGATCAACACGCCGGCGGTGGAGCGCATGGTGGATTGCTGATGGGTTGTGTGCTGGAACGAAGAAGCGAGAATCTAGTAGGTCCAGGTGAGCCGCCACGACTGGGCCATGGAGAGCTGCAGGCCGTGGACGGTGAGGAGGCCCGAGTAGGGGTCGAAGCCCAGCGGCAGCGTGTGACCCTCGAGCACCACCGAGGTCGGCCTGCGGCTGAGCCCGGCCACGGAGATGGTCTCCACCATCAGCTCGGCCGCACCCGCATAATTGTTTTCCAGAATCTGCAGTCGCCCACGCATGACATGAGTGAGTGTCGTGGCGCGTGTGGGTGGCGCGTGTGCGGTGCTGCGTGTGTGTGTGCAAGATCAGAGCGAAGGCGTACGTTGGCCTGGAAGTAACCGCCACTGGGTCCATTGAAGACGTGGTAGAGAGTCTTCGTGAACTGCTGGCGCTCTTCGAACGCGTAACCGTCGCCCGAGTCCTGGTAGAGGGAACCGACCGCCGCGCCCTCGGCGGAGAGGGCGGCGACCAGGTGGAAGTTGTTCTTGCGCGTCTCGGCCGTGGTGAGCGCCGGCGCCTGAAGCGGCAGTACGAGTCCGCCACGAATGTGGACCTGCAATAATTGTGCGTGTGTGTCATGTTGTGTCGTGTGCGGTGGTGCGTGCGGTCAGATATGAATCAGCAGTACATGTAAGCCAGCGAGACGACGTACGTTGATCTTGTCGAGCGGGGTGTGAAGGTCGAGCCAGGTCGGGGTGTTGGCGCCCTCGATCGCAGCCAGCGTGAAGAAGTCGTACCACTTGCCGGCGGGGAAGTAGGCGCGGACGGTGGAGGTGTTGGCCTCGAGCACGGGCGAGATGAGGAGGCCCGAGCCGATGAGGAACTGACGGTCGATATCCCACGTCGTCACGTCCTCGCGGAACTCGAAGAAGAGCGGGCGGGCCACGTGGCGCCGGTCTTATGAGCCTGTCAGACACAACACACGACACGACACGACACGCATGCCACACACACGCGCAAAATTAAGGCCCGGTGCGGTGATATGTTGGCGCGCCGGCGTGTGTAGTACCTCGTAGAAGAGGGTGTAGTAGTAGGGCAGCAGCGAGTAGCGGACGGCCAGGATGTTGCGGCTGATCTCGGCGACCTCGGGCCACGTGTAGGGCTCTGCAAGGGATGACCGACAGCAAGCTCGTTAGACGTCAACATCCTGAAGCCGCGAAAGAACGAAGAACGATGGGTGGGGGACAAAGAACGAAGGAGCGATGGGAAGCGTGGGTGCCTTGGGAAATGCTGCCCAGCGCGTTGTGGTTGCGAGAGAAGGGGTAGAATGCGCCCAGCTCCATCCACCTCGCACACAGCTCGGGCGTCGTGTTTTGCTCTGTGCCGCGCAAACACACGGCAGCAGCCGGGAGTCGGGAAATGCAGTCAGCACTACACAGCGCGTGGCCTCCAGAGCCAAGTGCATAGTTGGAATTCTAGCTCTTTCAAGTGCGGGAGCACCTACCGAAACCGCAGATGTCGGCACCCACGAGAGGAATGCCAAACATCTGGAAGTTGAGGATGCCGGGGATCGACATGTAGAGGTCCGTCCACGTCGACGCGTTGTCGCCCAGCCAGTGGCCGGCGTGACGACCGTGGCCGGGGTAGGTGGAGCGGCTGATAATGACCGGCCGCTTGTCCTGCCGCAGCTTACGCAGCGCACGGTAGGTCGAGCGAGACTCGGACCAACCTGTAAGCTTGGTCAGTACAACACCCACGCACACGCACACGCACGCACCACCGCACACGCACACGAGACGACACACACGTAATGTACCGTAGAGGTTGTGCATGTTGTAGTGGGTGGAGAGATGCTGATTGGCATCCATGGAGATAGTGTTCTTGTTGAGGGGCGCGGTACAGCCCTTGTTGTTGATCGCGTATGGTGGCGTGTTGAGGGATCCCAGCGGCTCCATCGGGGGCGTCGCGCACTCGCCATCGCAGAAGTTGCTGGGCTCGTTCATGTCCACCCAAATGCCTGCCAATCGGAAGTGAGCAAGCCAGGCACACGCACCACCGCACACTCATACGCACACGCACGCGCACACACACACACACACACACACACACACGCACACACACGAACACGCACACACGCACGCACATGCACGCATCGCTGTACACGCACAGCGCTGACTATCGTACCATCGACGGGAACGGTGTTGAGGAAGCCCTTGAGCTGCGTCTCCCAGTACCGGTCGGCGTTGGGGTGGTAGTAGTCGGTCCAGGCCGTGAAGCCGGGCCACACCTTGCCGATCAGGGGAGTACCTGTACCCCCGCGAGCGACCCACGTGTTGGTCAGTGACAAAGGCGACAGGCCTGGCGTAAGATGCGAAAGATGTAATACCGGTGGCGTTCCTCGTGATGAAGATGTCGAGTTCGAGACCCTGATCGTAGGCCGGATAGCTGGTCACGTTGGCGATGCCGGCGTCGACGATCACGATGTACTGCTGACCGTTGTCGTGCAGGCGGTTCACGAAATTCTGCATTCACAACAGAGAAGCGAGAGGCGAAGACGTGAGCCATGGTGGCGACACCAAGGCGGTCTATGGGGCAGTGCGGAAGTGGAAATTGCGGCGCACCTGCATGTCCTTGACCGGATAGCGGACGGGGTCGAACGTAAAGTCGAGGTACTTGTTCATGTAATCGATGTCGTTCCCTGAAATGTGACAGGTGATATACACGTGTGTGCGAGGATGGGTTTATAAAGCAAAAGGACGAGAAGTGGAGAGGTGGTGATGATATATATAGAGAGAGAGAGATATAGAATAGACGTACACATGGTGTCGAGAGGGATCTTGTGCTTGGCGTATTCGGCCACGACGGTTTCCACCACGCTGAGGTTGTGGTAACCATAACGGCACTGATGCCATCCGAGAGCCCAGTACGGCGGCTATTTCCGATCAACACCAAACCAGCACGATCGGAGTTAAAACAAGGAAGCCAAGTGCCAGCGAGTTGCGGTGCGACGCGGCAGTGCCAGTACCATGTGAGGGCGGCCGATCAGTTCGGTGTACTGGTCGATCACGTCCGCGGGCGAGGGGCCGAGCATGAAGAAGAAGTCAAGCACGCCACCGATGGCGCGGTAGGTGAGGGACGACGGACCGAGGTAGACGTCCATGCCGTTGCTGTTAAGCAGGAACACGCCGTGTGCCTGTGACAGATTGGTCTGTGAGTCGTAGAAAAAGAACGAAGAGAGAGAGAGAGGAGAGAGAAAGAGAGAAAAATGAAAGGGGCAAAAAAGAGTACGAGCTTGGACTTCTGGCGCATCTCCAGGTAGAAGGGGTGAGAGCCGTAGAGGTTCATCAGGAATGGAACTCCGCCGTTATCAGCGGCAAAGAAGGTGTAGTAGGCGGAGGAGGTGTTCAACCGCAGAGGATGAGCGCGCTCGCCCAGACCGTACACGAACGAATCCTGAAGGCAGCATAAGACACGACGGAGATGAAACTCCCTGCCTGGAGCGAGAGCTAAATCGAGTGGTTACCTGGGGAAGCTGCGTGCTGATCTCGAGGTACTGGTCCTCGAACACCAACCCGTTGAACTCCTCGTTGCCGCTGCCCTCTTCAGTGTTGTTTTGTTGTTGGGTCAGGTGCCATTCTTGGTCAGGCATCAGTGGGAAATGGATGTGACGTACTCGGCGAGGAGGTGTTGAACAAGGTCTCGCCGGTCGACTTGCGCACCACGGCGAACGCGAACGGGTAATGAGTGAGCACAAAATCGTAGTCGGCCGAGGAGGACACGACCGGGGACGACGGCGTGGTCTCGATGATGTCCGGCACCTCCCAGCGCTTCTCAGTTGCGTCGGTGATAGTCACGCGAAGCTGCGTCTGTTGACCGAAAAGAAGAAAAGAAAAGAAAGAGTCCGACCAGTCAACGACACTAGCTTGCACATGAAGGCGGCATGCCGTGTACCTCGGTGGGGAAGTCGACATTGAGGTGCAGGAGCGGCAGATCCTTTCCGTAGAAGTAGCCACCGTCCACCAACTGCAGATAGGCCTCCAGACCGCTGTCCTTGTCGATCCGCTTGATCACGCGGTACCCTGACGAGCACCCGCAACAAAAGTGAATCCCAAGAACGACGAAGGCAAAAAGAACGAAACGAAACGAGAAGGCGAAATAGAAAGCGAAAGAGAAGTGGCAGGGGGTACCTTTGACGGGAGGGTTGGGGAGGAAGCAGGCCGGGACGCCGCTGCCGTTGGGGCAGGCAGTGCCGGTGGGGTCGTAGGCGGTGGGGGCCCAACAACAGCCATTGGCCTCGCAGGCCGACTGACTAATCAGGGCCAGAGCGCACGCCTTGCGCACGCCGCCGGCGAGGCACTGGGCGTCCTCCACGTTGACCTGTTGCAAGGGACTCACAAGTAAGAAGATGAACGAAGAAAGAGATTTTGCGAAGATGAATTGAGAGATTCAATCTTCTGCGTCGACCAACAGAATCAAACTCAGTTGCGAACGAAGGAAGAGATGCACCATGCTAGCGGCAGCGAAGGCGGCGATGAACAGAAGGCCTGCGAAGCGTACGAGGGTCCTCGCAGAGACCTTCATGTTTGGTGGGACAAAGGATAAGAACAATGGGCCGAAGACTTATTACGGCAGGTGTGGGCACAGAAGTTGGCCAACCCAGGCTATCGGCAAAACGCGATCCTCAGTACTTTCGTTAGCCAACCCACCACCATCGCGGGAGGGACGGGATTGGACCTCACAACTCTGACTCACCCTCCTCCGGAATGAACCCCCGCTCCAAGGCCCACGCCACCTGTGCGTCTGCGCCGTCTTCTAGCCTCCGTTGCTGAGTTTTGTGGGCCGGCGGGAAACACTTTAGGTGACGTCAGCACCCACGTTAAGGATGAAGAAGAAAAAGAAGGAAAATAGGCAGTCGAGATTGAGGCAAGATCACATCTAGGGCGAGCCACAAGATGGCGACCTACAATGACCCACAGGAGTCGTACTTCATGGGACAGGGTGGTCAAGGTGGGCAAGGTGGGCAGCGCGGACCGGCAATACGAGATGGCAAGCGTATGCGCAAGGCCATTCAGAGGAAGACGGTCGATTTCTCCTGCCCCACTGTTGAGTATTTCGAGGTAACCCAGCCTGTGCCCTTCTACTCCTCATTCAATAAATCTTCATTCCAAATCACCCCTCCCTCTCGAATTTTGTAGCAATCTGCAAATCCTGCAAATCAATACAAATAAATGGAATAAAAAAATGAACGATAGGATGTGAGCTGACAATCAACCGGCCTTTCCAGACGCGCATGTACCAGAGGGATTACAGGGATTTCCACGCGCTTGAACCCGACCCAGCGTACGTCAGAAAGGTATGCATAGCTTCATGGCAGAGAGCGCCATCACTGTGCGTTGAGGCAGACACCATTGCCTTTGTGCAAGTGGCTGATGGTGTGTGTGTGTGTGTGTGTACATTGTTGTGGCTTTCCAGTTGGAGCCTCCCATCTTTTGGGACCACAACCCGAGCACGAGCATCACCACCAAGTTCGTGCATTCATCGGTTAACCAGGTCAAGTGTCCGATCAACTGTGTCGCGGTACGCTCTCCTCTAGCCCTCCTCCGTCGTTGTCTTGTTTCTTAACCTGCTTGCTTGGCTCTGCAGTGGACGCCAGAGGGACGACGATTGGTCACAGGAGCGTCGAGCGGCGAGTTCACGCTCTGGAACGGCTTCACCTTCAACTTCGAAACAATTTTGCAGGCGCACGATACGGCAATCCGTTCGATGGTATGGAGTCACAACGATCAGTGGATGGTGACGGGAGATCACGAGGGCATCGTCAAGTACTGGCAGTCCAACATGAACAACGTGAAGGCCTTCTCGGCACACAAGGAAGCTGTTCGCGATATCACGTAACCTCACCTTCTTCATCTTTCTTTCTTTATTTTTCTTTTCTTTTCTTTTCTCGCTTCAGCACTCTTTCATTCTTCAGAGCTTGATCGAGCTAACAAGTTCTTCTCTTGGACTTTTTTGTAGCTTTGCGCCGTCGGACATGAAGTTCGCAACGTGCAGTGACGATGTGTCGATCAAGATCTGGGATTTCACTCGCTACACAGAAGAGATCACACTAACAGGTGCACCTCGCCGCCACTGGACATGTTGCTGTCGCTTCATCCTCTGGTCACTCACGCGACTGTGGGGGCGATGGATCAGGTCACGGTTGGGACGTCAAATGCCTGGATTGGCATCCGGTCACTTCCCTGCTGGCTTCGGGAAGTAAGGACAACCTTGTAAAGCTGTGGGACCCCAAGTCAGGCAAGAATCTGACAACAATGTACGTTCAGCGCACGTGCCACACACGCCACACACACACACACACCACACACACCACACGCACAACTCTTGTAGCTTACGTTGGTGTGTTAATTACTCTGGCGCAGACACGGGCACAAGAACACCATTTTGGCGGTGGAGTGGAACAAAAACGGGAACTGGCTTCTCACCGGCTCGCGGGACCAACTTCTGAAGATATTCGACATCCGAACGATGCGAGAGCTGCAGACGTTCCGAGGGCACAAGAAGGAGGTCACCTGTACGTCGCATCTGACTCAAGTTCTTCTGTGCGTTCCGCTGGACCACATGCTGACCTGTACCCTTCGCCACCCACCGCAGCTGCCACTTGGCATCCGGTGCACGAGGACTCCTTCACGAGCGGCGGCTACGACGGAAGCATTCTGTTCTGGCGCGTCGGGTGCGTCGCTGCAGCAGTTTTGACATTGACTTTGACCTTGACGCCATCACTTTTTCACCTTCTCACTTTCTCTCCGTGCGAATAGGTTGGACGCGCCGCAGGGCATCATTCAAAACGCGCACGAGGGCTCCATCTGGGATATGGCCTGGCATCCTCTGGTATTTGCTCACGCACACGACACGCATGCACACGACACGCACGCAAACCAATACAGAGTGACTTAATTGTATTCGTATTTACCCTAATAGGGCCATATTCTCTGCTCTGGATCCAACGATCACACGACCAAGTTCTGGTGCCGCAACCGACCGGGCGATCCCATGACCGACAAATACAACGAAATCAAGGTACCACCCGCGCAGACGCAGACGCCCGGTGTTGAGTTCAACCAGAAACTTAGGCGGCATTCGACAATAGGAGGAGGAGAAGGAAAAGCCAAAGGAAAAGTATGAACCATCAATGCCGACCACCGGAGGGGCCATCCCGGGCTTGGGCCAAATGGTACGTAAGGAGCCTCTTCGGTGCCATACGTTCCCCCGCTGATGCGGCTGGCTCACGACGTTTGATTTTTTTTTTCCAGCGACGACCGCGCGACGACCGAGGAAAGGAGAGAGCGCCAGTGGTACAACGAACCCATCATCTTCCGTTTTTTCGACCTGTTCCGCATCACCTACTCACAACGCGCCCTTTTCGTGTGCCGACATCCAGAAGCCTCCCGGTTCCTCTGCGTCCGGCCCCATGCACGTCGTGCCTCCTCCCCTGGTGCGCGGTGCGTACCCCAATGCGTTAATTTACATTTCTATTTATGGCCGCCCGCGTTTCTCTTTTTCTACGCCTCTCCCCTGAACTGAATTGATGGTCTATCAGGTCCTGGCGGCATGGGCGGCCCGATGGTGTTCATTCCGGGCATGGGGGGTCCCACCGCTCCCGGCGGTCCGCCGATGATGCCGCCCTTCCCCATGCCTGGCGGCCCCGGTGGCCCGGGCGGTCCTCCCGGCTTCGCCTCCGACCGCGGCGGCAGCGGCGGACCACAACCGGGCGGCATGCCCCACCCGCACGGTGGCGGCGGACCGCCTCACGGATTCCCGGGCGGCGGCAACGACGGACCTCCGCGTGGTTTCCCAGGCAGCGGACCGCCCCAGCACCAGCGACCACCTCCGCAGCAAGGCGGCGGCTTTGGCGGACCTCCGCCGCACTTCCCGCCTGGAGGCGGACCTCCCCCGCACCACCAGCAGCGGCCGCAGCACCCCGGCGGACCTCCCGGCGGCGGCGGTCCGCCTCCCTTCGGCTTTGGCGGACCCGGCGGCCCTGGTGGACCCATGATGGGCGGACCCGGCGGGCCTCCCGGTGGCTTTGGCGGCATGCCATCCATGCCGCCGTTCATGGGCGGCCCGCCTGGGCCTCCCGGAGGCTTTGGTGGCATGCCGCCCATGGGCCAGTTCCCGCCTCCGCCACAGCACCAACACCAGCATCAGCACCAGCAGCAACATCAGCACCAGCACCAACGGCATCAACGGCAAGGAGGTGACGGTCAAGGCCGCTACTGATGATGCGATCAGCCCAAGGACCCAACGTACTCTAGACATGGGTGACGTCGTGTACCACTCGAACTGCCCAATAAGAAAATGGCAATATTGTTGGTTGACTGTCGGTTGAGCCTATGGGGTGGATCATCGGAGCTGGGATTGGTGGGACTGTTTCTGTATTGGGCCAATAACTTCCCGTTCACTTCAAATTGCAGACGTTGCGGTAGCGGAAGGGAAGGAGCTCCTTCTCGTCTTTCCTTTTGTTCTTCTTTCGTCCAGTTCAACCACGCAAGCCACAAGGTGCACCAACCACGGCCCACGCTCTCTAAAGTTGCGTTGAGTGATAAGAGCTTTATTTGTCGTTCTCAGTCGTTCTGACAGTCCCGGTCTCGCACAGGATGATGCGATCCTTTGGGGTACTTTTGCTGGTGGCCGCACTGCTCGGCTCCGTTTCGGCGCAGACGGCCGTGGGCATTGACCTCGCCGGGGCCAGCTTCTACAGCTCCAGCGGCGCCACCATGACCCAGGTCCCTACCACCCTCCTCTCTTTCCCTGCCGAGTAGTGGGCTATAACTCCGCCGACCCTCTTTTCTATTCGGTCGTCGCGCGTGATCGGATCTTCTTGCGGCGCACACACACTCACCCACAATCATCATCGTACGCAGGTCTCCCTCGGGGCCGGCCAGCCGTCTACGGTGGCTCTGCGCGTCAACGTGCCGGTGACGACTGGCAACGTGTGGTACGTACAGTACCGTGGCCCGGCTGTCCTGCAAGAAGAAGACACTCACGGTGAGCCACAACCCCCGCTTCTTCTCAGGGACAACGGCATCAACATCCAGACCACCTTGCCCAGCAACGTGGCTGCCGGCGACTGGTTCCTCATGAAGTTCTCCGCTCGCCAGGTAACACCAACCTGCCGTCCATTCGACATGCGTCCCAGTGCCTGACTTCATGTGCGTGTGCGGTTGGTCTGTTCAAGGTGTCAGGCCAGGCCAACTTCCCGGCGGGCAAGGGCATTCAGGCTATCGTCAACATCAGGCCGTTCAGCGGCGGCTATGTCAACTCGCTGGACGCCACCTTGCCGTGTGACTCCACCAGCTGGTGCGACTACGCCATCGCCTTCCGCGCCAACGAGGCTCAGACCAACGCCAACCCGCCCTACATCATGTTCCAGGTTCCCTGACCCACACGCCCACACCAACACACACAGCCGCACACGCACGACCGCACACACGACCGCACACGCACTGATCGACAACGACGACGCACAGATGAGCGAGGGTCCGCAGACGTTCGACATTGCCGTGACCTCGCTGACCTACTACGGCACGACCCAGCCGCCGGCGTCGCTCTACAAGTTCTACTACCCGGGCCGCGACGTGACGACCGCCTCGTGGAGGACCAGCGCCAACACGCGCATCGACAACATCCGCAAGGGCGACCTCAACGTCAAGGTCGTCGACGCCAACAACAACCCCACCACCGGTACCTTGACCACCATCACCATCACCCTCATCGTGGTCCAATTCTGATCGAGCAACATGTGTCGGGTGTGCGGTGTGTGCGTTGGGGGCATCGACCAGGTGCGACGGTGCGGGTTGAGCAGCAGCGTCATGAGTACCGCTTCGGCGTGGCCATCAACCACTGGCTGGTGGTGGACGGCACCAACCCGACCTACAACAGCAGGATCCTGCAGTACTTCAACCACATCGCCCTCGAGAATGGCCTCAAGATGGTCTACTGGGTACCTTCACCTTCAAGTCATCGTCACCTTGAACAACTTCATCATCATCTTCATCTTCATCACCATCATCATGTTGATGTGTAACTGAATTGTGGATGGCTTTTTTCGCGTTACACAGGAGAACGACAACGGTGCGTCCGCCATCAGCGCGCTCCAGTGGGCGTCGTCCAACAGCCTGTCGGTCACCGGCCACGTGCTGCTGTGGGGCGGGTTCGACTACATGCCGCAGGACACCTGGACCATGACCGCCGCCCAGCTCAGGCCGCGCATCCTCAACCACGTCTCCGGTACCACCACTCTCCCCTTAGCCCACTAGTTCTGCATTCTGCTAAATATCACGTGTGTCGTGTGTGTCGTGCGTTCGTGTCGTGTGTCGCGTGTGTCGTGCGAAACAAGACATTGTGACGCGTACCAAGGCCTACGTGTCGGAGTGGGACGTCGTGAACGAGCCGCTCGAGAACAACGACGTGCAGGGCACCGTCCTGTCGACTGGCGTTGCGCAGGCCAACGGTGTGCTCGGCAACTCCTTCCCCGCCGAACTTTTCAACTACACGTACGTCCATCGCCCATCGTGTGTCGTGCGTCGTGCGCTGCATCAAAGCTTAACAAACGACACATCGGACACACACTCACCACACAGGTACTCTCTGTTCCAATCGGGGGCCAACCCGCAGACCCCGAGTCTGTTCGTGAACGACTACAGCGTGATGGAGGGCCTGGACCTCACCCGCCGCACCTACACCGCCAACTTCACCAAGTACGCCAAGCAGCGCAGCCCCTACGTCAACGGCTACGGCTTCCAGTCGCACGTGGGCCAGTACCTGATCCCCATCGACGTCCTCCAGTCCCGCCTCGACTAGTACCCTCTTCCCACCCCCGCCACCCTCCTCCCACCACCTTCATGTTCTAACCACACACACACACACACACACACACACACACACACACACAACCGCACGCACGCACACACGACAGTTTGTTGGGCGTTGATCCGGCGTTTACGGCGGCGATCTCGGAGCTGGACATTGCGACATACGACGAGGAGCTGCACGCGGACTACCTGGAGGACTACATGACCTTCTTCTTCAGCCAGCCGCGCATCAAGCACATCACCCAGTGGGGCTTCTGGGAGGGCTCCCACTACGACCCGATCTGCGCCCTGTGGCGCCAGAACTGGCAGCCCAAGCCGGCCGGCACGCGGTACCTGGACCTGGTCTTCAACCGCTGGTGGACCAACGCGACGGCCACCACGTCGAGCGCCGGCACAGCCGCCCTGCGCGCCTTCTACGGCCGGCACCAGGTCACCGCGTCGTTCAACGGCGTGACCAAGTCCGTGGCGGTCACGCTGTCGTCGACCGCTGCCAACGGCCAGACCGTGATCCAGCTCAACACCGTAGTTGCGTCGGCCTCGCCCGCGGCGCCCAGCCCGACGCGCACCCCGACCAGCTCGCCCACGCGCACGCCGACGCCCGCGGCGGCTAGTCCGACCCGCACCCCGACGCCCGCGGCGGCCAGCCCGACGCGCTCGCCCACACGCTCGCCGTCGCCGGCGGCCGCGACCACGACCACGACCGGCCCGCACTCGCTGAGCGCCTACAGCGCGACGCCCGGGTCGACGATCACCGTCAACACCAAAGTCAACGTGGGCTCGACGGCCATTACCAACGGCTACGTCGGGTACTACATCGCGCCGGCGGGCGACTACGGCAACGAGGCGGCGATCGCCACCGGGACGGTGAGCGCCACGCTCGCCGCCGGCTCGTCGACACCGTTCGCCTTCAGCGCCGCGCTGGCGGCTGGCGCTGCGCCGGGACCGTACTGGCTCACCGTGGCCGTGTGGGACTCGAACTGGAACAACATCGCGTGGAACACCAACCTGGCCACGCTCACGGTCTACCCGTCGTCGCCCACCATCAACCCCGTAGGCCTGTCGCCGACCGCCGTGTTCCCGGGCGGCCAGACCACCGTGACCTTCACCGTCAACACCGCTAACACCGCCTACACCAACGCCTTCATCGGCTACAGGTCTTTTCTTCTTTTTTCCCTTCTTGTGTGCATTGACTGACTCACCATCGCACACGCACCACACACCAATGATGATAGTTTTGCGCCGCGCGGTCAGACGGCGAACAAACTGGTGGAGGACTTCTACTCGGGCAGCGGCAACCTGGCCGCGCGCTCGGTGACGTCGTACACTTTCACTGCGACCATCCCGGCCAACGCCGCGCCCGGCAACTACGACCTCAACGCCGGCGTGTGGGACTCGGCCTGGAACGGCGTGGCCTACAGCGGCGGCATCACCTCGGGCGTGGTGCTCACCGTGCGCAATCCGGCGGCGTCGGTCGCAGCCGGCTCGATCTCGGCCTCTACTGTGGCCCGCGGCGGCTCGGTTACGATCGTCGTCAACGCCAACGCCGGCGCCTCGGCCCTGGCCTCAGCCCGCGTCGGCTACAGCGTCGTGCCGAGCGCGAGCGCCAACACGCCCGTGGTCTCGACGCAGACCAACAACAACGTCAACGTCGCGGCGGGCGCCACCGGCGCCTACACGTTCGTGGCGACCATCCCGACGAGCGCCGCCACCGGCCAGTACCGCGTGACGCTCGGCCTGTGGGACGTCAACTGGAACTCGCTAGACTGGGTCAACAACGGCTTCTACATCAACGTCGTCTGAGCTCTGTTCTTCGCTTTTTGTATCACCACAGCTTAGAATGCAACGTTTTCGCTTTCACTTTTCGTTTGTTGGTGGCGTCGTACAAGAACGATGACGTCAGGCGATCTCGAATTCGTGGATGGGTTGGGTGTCGGGCACGAACTCGGCCGAGGGCAAGAGGACGAACGGCAGCGCCGAGTTCTCGTCGTAGTGGGCGAACCCGCCGTCCATGCCCATCCGCGTGTCCAGAATGGCCGACGCGATGCTGGTGTTCCCAGCATGCCCCATCACACAACCGCCACGTAAGCAATGCACAATCATAGGTGAGCCAAAAAAAGTAAAATAAAATGCAAGCTGGCGAACCTGGGGAAGCGGAGGATCTGGATGCACTCGTGGGCGCGCTGGTGGACGGAGGCGTGGAAGCACTCCTTCTGCTTGATGACCTTGGCCAGGCAGATGATCACGCGCGAGCCCAGGTCCTGCAATCGCGAGGCCAGCTTCGCCAGCGCTGTCGTGTGCGGTGCGTGTGAGTGCGGTCGCGACAGGAATGTGAGACAGGCGCACAAGCAGAGAGAGCGGTGCATACCAGAGATGACGATGATCATGAGGCGCGTGGAGTAGGCCTTCTCCTCGGCCCGCTCCTCGTCCAGGCGCTCGGCCGAGAGGGGCTCGGCCGAGGTGGCGAGCGCAGCCGGCACCGCCGAGGCCGACGACATGAAGAACGCGGCGTCGGGGTCCGTCAGCTCCATCTTGGCCAACGACATCCGCTCGAACGCGAAGGTCTCCAGCACCTCGTGGTACTCTGCATAATAATAATTGTAGTAATAATAAAAAACAAGGAAAACAAAAAGCAATTACAAGAAAAACAATTCTTCCGGTTAGCACACAAAAACGTAAAAAATATAATAAGAATAATAATTAACTTAATAATAATATATAATAAATGGAGGGTACCGGCGACGATGCGTGGCGTGCAAAGGTGCGAGACGGAGGACGAGGCGTATTCGCCCACGAGCCAGCACAGGGTGAGGATCAGTTCCTTGCGGTTGGGGTGCGTGCCGTCGCGCATGATCTCGATGATGGCGTCCTTGAAGGTGACGACGAACGACGGATACTTGTGGAAGATCGCCATCACCTTGATCACCATGGCCTTCCTGGCCTCCTTTTGGAAGTCCTTGTACGGGAACAGCTGCGTCACACTCATTGCGTGAGATCGAGCTTCACACACGCATAATCGCACGCGCACCACCGCACACGAACACGCACATGCACCACCGCACGCACCACCGCACACGCACACGGACGCACCTGATCTACTCGTTCAAAGAGGACGGGCAGAAGCTCGTGGAGGTGGGATGAGAGGCCGTGTTGGATGATCACATCGAAGTAGACGTCCAGGAGTCGCGGCACGACCTCCCCCGCGGCGACCACTCGGGCAGTCAACGGAGTGACCTGGAGCGTGAATCACGTGTGTGTGTGTGTGGTGTGTGTGTGATCGTCGTTTGAGAAAATAACGAATAGAAATTGGGGGCGTGGGTGACGCGATTGCACCTTGAAGAAGTCGTGTAGTTTCTCCAGGGTCGTGGAGGACTCCCAGAAGTTGATGGACACGCCGCTCTCGTTTCTCAACACGTAATTGTACAGCACGCGGAACTCGGACGGAGGCGCCTCCTCCTCGCCGGTGTAGAACATTGTATCTGCAATCGCCCCCACCATCACCACCGCCACAGGTGAGCGTCAGCGGTGCGGACACTATTTTTAGTTGGCGAACGGTGGGGAGGCAAGTGGCGACGGTGCGATACCGTATTCGATGCGTTCGAGGGCGGCAGCCACGAGCGGAAGGTCGAGAATGAGATGAAAGAGTTCGATGAACGTCGCCGGAGAGATGAACGCCGGCAAGAGTTCCAAAAATTCGCTGGTGGATGAATTGTCTGATGAGTGGAGCGTGCTTCTTGCATTGTTGGTTGTTGGTTGTTGGTTGTTGTTCGATGAGATGGGGAACGTACCTCTGATAGGAATAGGGAAACCAGGCCAAGAGCTTGACCAGGGGAGGGAAATACTGGGTGAAGACGCTGGTGTGCTGCAACAGTTGTCGCTTGTTCGTGAGGAAGAAGCTGAGCGTCTGGAAGGCCAAACTTGCGTTGTTGTCTGCACGTCACCGCATTCGGCACACGGCACACGGCACACGGCACGCACATAGAGAGAGAGAGAGAGTTAAATGCGTGCGTGGCTGGTGGTGATTGATGGATGGTGAGAACGTACAATGAGTGGAAAGATAAGATTCGAAAAAGGTGCGGAAGACGGGTTCGACGTCGTAACCCACGACGATGCCGTGATTGACGAAAAACTGGAGCAGCGCGAGGAACACCTGGCCGTTCTTCTTGGTGCTGTCCCGGTTGAAGATCTTCTTGACTGCCGGGAACAGCGATGGCACCTGGTGCACGCAGAAGCCCATCATCGTTAGACTTGATGTGTGCAGGGGGGGGGCGTGAAAAGATAGAACTTACTTGGGCTGTGTCGAGCCGGCAGACGAGATCGAGGATCCTGATGGCCTCCACGAGCACGAGGTCGGGGTAGTCTCCGCCGAAGCCTTTGATGGCCTTGGCCGGCGCGCTGCCGTCTCCGCCCGGCTTCAGGTTCGACTGGTCGATCAGCCGCAGGCAGTACTTGATCGTCGCCTCCTTGAACGGAAAACTCATTTCTATGGTGGTGGCGTTGCGACCCGACCCGACACGACACGACACGACCAACGACACGACCAACGACACGACCAACGACACGACCAACGACACGACCAACGACCCGACCAACGACACGACCAACGACACGACCAACGACACGACACACCTTGGTGAGCATCTACGACCACAGGAACGAGCATAGTGTCGATGCAGGGCACGCACCGAATTCGTCGTGATAGGAGGACTGCGGGCCATAGAGCAGGTTGATCCACTGGTAGAGGATGGAGAAGGAGCAGGTGTTGGAGATCTGGTCCTCGCTAAACTGCCCGACAGCGTTCAGCACCGTGAAGAAGGACTGCGCCGGCATTCCGTTGAGCTCCGTCACGGCATTGGCGCCCGTAATGTTCAACTGCTTGAAAACTGTCGTCGCACGAAAACAACATTAGTTAGTTCGGGACAAGCCGAACGGCAGCGGTAGTGGTGCAGCAGCTCGTACATGATGAAACAGAGGAAGAGGAGTCCTTCTGTTCGAGAGCGTTGCGGGCGTTGGTGAGCCACTCGGCCATATGCGTTTCCACAGGCTTAATGGCTTGGCTGTACTGCAGACGCACACGCCGACGCACTGTACACACACACACACACACACACACACACACACACACACACACACACAACACACACACAATACACACACACAACAAGAGCGCTTGGTCAATTAAGTCAAATTTCTCAGCCGACTGGGAGGTCGGTGCACGTACGGCTCAGGATGAGTCCAGGGAAGGCCGACGTGCGAAAGACCGGGTCTTGTGTGGTCACGCACTGCACGAAGAAGGGAAGGTGACGCGTGAGGGCCGAGTCGCCGCCCAGGGCGAGAGTGGCCGGCAGTATGAACTCGAGCAGCTGCCGGTTCGACAGACTGTACCAAGCAGTTCGCGTTAGCCGTTGGTGCGGTGGTCGTCTGTTGTGTGTGTGTGCGTGTGGGCTCAGCGAATCGCAACCTTTTGAATACCTCGGGCTCGTCATCAAAGCACTGCTGGACGATGCTGGAGCACAGAGCCCGTAGTCGGTTCGGCAGCTTGGCTTCTGTGAACGTGGTACAGCTGGGGTGGTTCGCGCCGCAGCCTGCGTGAGTGCGACTGCGTGCGCGCAAAGTACTCGAGAGGGGAAAAGCGTACATGGTGGTGGCCAGCTGCCGGAAGTGGGGCGAAGGGTACTTGCGCGGGTAGACGAGCAGCACTTGATACAGCTGTCGCAGCGCATCGAGACACTCCCGGCCCCGTGCCTTCTTCTCTAGCACCTAGCAGTGTTCACGCGCCGCCACACCGGCACCAGCGTGAGGAAATCTCTCTTCCCATTTCCTTCCTCGACAAGACCGATCAACGCCGGCACCAAGGGGGAGCATGGGTGTCCCGAATGGTACGAGCGAAAGCAGAGGAGCAAGCAAATGTATGAATTGACAAACAAGACGATCTTGGGGCGGGCACCTGGATGGCGTTGGTGA